GGGTGATTTTCTGTGCTATGTTAGCTTAGTTATAGTACTCGTTCTTAGTGTAGTAATTTTTGTTTAACAAAAAAAAAACAAAAAAAATGGAAAATTTGGACTTTTCCCGACGATGGATTTTGTGGACAGCTTTTTTAAGGGATTAAGGTCAAATAAAAAAAAATGAAAAAAACATTTAAAAAATAAAAAAACACAAAAATGTCTTTTATTTTTTTTTAGGTAGTAATAATCCCCCGTGGTTTTTCTTTGTGCATCGGTTCTTTTCCGTGCGATGTAGTTTGAATCGGGTAGCTTTTTTTCTTTTAGAGTAGATTAGGAATTTAGGGAATAAAAGGAGGAAGAATGATGAACTTAGGCGCCTTGACTTGTTTGATAATAGAATATTTAGGCTTAGGCATGTGTAGTATCTTCCCTATGATTTGAAATTGATCATGATGCCTCACTTACTTGGATAACATGTTTTGTGACACCTATTGATCACACCCAACTATGCCTTATAAAAAGGACAATGCGGACGTTGCAAATATAACCTGAGTATTACGCCCAGGGTCGAATCCACAGAGAGTTAACCTATCAATCACTATCTTTAGACCCACTAAACTCTTCAGAACCAGTTTCCCAGATGTTTGAATTACAGTTGGAGGTTGCTTTACTAACTACGATTACAAGTAAATTAAACAGCTGTAAATTAAAATGCTAAGATTGTAAACAATGATGAGAAGAAGCTAAGGCAATGATTTCCCCTTTGAAAGAATCCCTGCTGTTTATGCTCATACAAATTTACCAGCACATCTCTATCAATCATGAACGCTCATCTTACTGTAAATCTCTCCCGAGATACACTAGCTTACTTTATTTCGCACAATTCACTTTAGATTATACCCAAGGCTTCGTTATCCCTAATCCCGCCTTTAAACCCGCAATTATAGATTCCTCTTATACTTTGGGAGTGGTGTTGTTCAACAATAACCTAAGTATGCACTCTTTTCCAAGTTATGCACACTAAATAGGCATAGCTAATTGAGGATTCTGTCAATTAACTACAACAAGCACAAAGTTGAACAAATAGAGATTGAAACTAGCAATTTGTATTCACATAAACAAGATGTTCATCCCCCAATAGGTTCCATCAAAGCCTTAGACAAAGGATTTAGCTACTCATGGCTATGGGAAAACAAACTAAGATAGAATTCATCATAACTAGCAATAAAAATCAAAGAAAAGAAGAAAGATGTTTTGGGTGATCTCTCACAATTTTTTTTTTTTTGCCAAGATACTCTAAAATTCAATACATGCCTCTCTTGGGCGAAGTCTTGTATTTAAAATAGGGTTTAGGTCTAAAAATCCCGTGTTTTACACTTTAGTCCCTGAAGTTTTCTGCTTCCGCCGCGGTTCTGCCGCAGTCGCGGTCAAACCGCGGCCAAATGCCTTCTCTGAATCTGAATTTATCTACAGCTATCTTCCACCGCGGTGGAACCGCGGTCAACCCAGTCCTCTGNCAATACTCTTACTCAGAATTATCTGCCCTGTCAGTCCCAACTGTTCGACGACCCACGACCGAATTATGTTAGCCGAGCTTCCGGGATCGACCAAGACACGCTTGACTTTAGTGTCTCGGACCATCATGGATATTACCAAAGCGTCGTTATGGGGTTGTGCTGGTCCATCGATTTCCTCGTTGCTAAAACATAGTGTTCCCTCTGGTGCATAATCCCTGATCCGCTTCTCCCTTGTGATCGATATCTTGGTACGTTTCAGTATTGGTACTTGAGGTGCGTCTTCCCCTCCAATTATCATGTTTATGGTGTGCCGGGGTTCCTTCCTATCGGCTGGTCGATCTCGATTTTCGTAATGATTTTTGGCCCGATCACTGAGAAATTCTCGAAGGTAACCTTCATCGAGCAACCGGGCAACTTCCTCCCGCAGTTGCCTGCAATCTTCGGTTCTGTGGCCATGTGTGTTGTGGTACTTACATATTAACTTGGGATCCCTCCTCGATGGATCGGACTGTACGGGTTTGGGCCATCGGGCTTCTTTGATACATCCGATCGCCGACACCAAGGTAGCCGAATCGACACTGAAATTATACTCAGCCAATCGGGGTGCTTCCTGTCTATCGACGGCTTTCCCGAGGTTGGCCTTCGGTAACGGTCTTCTGTTCCTCTCATAGCCGCGGTCGTTCCTCGTAAATTTAGGCCTCCTATCATCCTGATACGGCCGATATCTTTCCTTGTTCGGTCTTGAATCTTTGTAGTTTTCCCTACGAGGTCGATCGAAATTCCTATGTGTGGATGGTGAATCCGAACTTGCTCCGCTGTGGTCGTCCTCTACCCTTATCTTCGATTGGTACCGGTTATGGATGTCTGCCCACGTAACTGCTGGAAACTCGATCAGACTTTGCTTTAATTGCCTGGATGCGGCTGAGCTGTTGGCGTTCAATCCTTGAGTGAAGGCTTGTACTGCCCAGTCATCCGTGACTGGGGGAAGATCCATCCTCTCCATTTGAAATCGAGACACAAATTCCCGGAGTGTCTCGTTTATGCGCTGTCGGACCTTGAATAGGTCGGATTTCCTTGTTTCTACCCTGATCGCCCCGGCGTGAGCTTTCACGAAGGCATCGGCTAACATGGCGAACGAATCGATGGAATTTGGCGGTAAGTTATGATACCACGTCATTGCCCCCTTGGACAAGGTTTCTCCAAACTTTTTCAACAAAACTGACTCGATTTCATCATCTTCGAGGTCGTTTCCCTTAATCGCGCATGTGTACGCTGTCACATGCTCGTTTGGGTCCGAGGTCCCATTATACTTCGGGAGATCGGGCATTCTAAATTTCTTAGGGATAGGTTTTGGGGCGGCACTGGATGGGAACGGTTTTTGTACAAACTTTTTAGCGTCAAGGCCTTTCAGGACCGGAGGTGCACCTGGTATTTGGTCGACCCTGGAGTTGTATGTTTCTACTTTTTTATTGTTGGCCTCGATCTTTTCCTCCCCCTTTTCGATTTGTTCGGTCAATTCTTCTAGCCTCCTAAGAACCGCAGAATCAGCATCCGGCCCACCCCGTTCCGGCTGTACTGGGGTCGGATTGATGATTGCAGCTGCACGGGGAGCCTCCTCGGACATGAAAGGCTCCTGGACCCGGCTCTGGAGCTTTGCTATAGCCGATTGCTGGGCTTGCAGCATGTCAAAAATCATTTTAAGGTTGATAGTCTCTTCGCCGACTGCCTGGGCCCTCGAATCGTCCTCTCCCCGGACGCTATGTGATGATCCGGAGGCCTGATCAGTGTTGAGCGCCATCCGGGAATCGGCATCTATCGGGTTTTCGAGCCCGGGCATTCCATTGTTTCCTGTCTGCTGTTCAAGTTCGTTGTTGATTGATTGTGCCATTCTATGAGTTGGTAATTTGAATGTAAGATGGACTCTTTTACAAAGAACCAGTGTATTGTGATGCGTCAAGAAAGAGTATCAAAGAGCTCACTAATATCCTTAGCCCCACGGTGGGCGCCAAACTGTTTACCCTGGAATCCGGATAACAATTGAATTTATATGGGGTTTTAAGGATTCGTGAACTAAAAGATACAAAAGGTTTGGATTGAGGAAAATAAAAGATAAAGACTCAACAATTGCTGTTAAAGTAAATAATCGCAGAATATAATATTGCTTAGAACAATCGTGCTTGATAGCGTACAAGAATAGAGAGAGATGGTACTCTAGTGTAATGGTTTCCGATCCCCTCTTTATGGGGTCTTCTCCCCTTTTATACATTCTGATTAAGGGTAAAAATAAGGTAGGTAAATTAATTACATCGTGGATCCCTGTAATTACGCCTTAATGGCCTGAAGTGGTTGAGAAAATCACGTTTGGGCGAGATATCCGGCGACGCTTGGTTATCCGTTACGAGTCCGGCTTCCGACCTTGTGTGTTTCTCCATCCGGTGGTGACTCATATCGAGCTCTGCAACGGTCTCGAAATGACTCGACCTCGGTTGTTGACGTGGCCGTCGTTCTACCTTGCATCCAGGTCGGGTTCGATGGCCCCGACTTGCCCCGGACCGGACCCAACCCGGTCGGGCTCAAGCAAAAAGGGTATCACCCAATACAAAAGGTACTCAATATATGTTACGTACCTTTATAGCCAAATATTTTATTTATATGCGCAGTGTAATTTTCCGACAAAGAATTGACCACCCTAACATAACTGTGGCTTCGCCCCTGATCACTATAACTGCAATCTTCACTGTTTTTTATCCCAAAGTGCATGTAAAACATATAGAGCTGGTGCTCCCTAGACCAGTACTCTATCTCAATGCCCTGTCCTGTTGGTTTCGTTGGTAAGGAGGGCAAACTCTGAGCTGAAAAAACAGAGTGGAAACGGGAAGGACAGTGAAAGGCCGAAAATTTCCGTTTGTGGCCTTGTGGATTTTCCAAGCAACAAACTTTTGCTTCTTGAATGCCTTAATCTTTTCACTTTGTTCTTTCTGCAAATTGAGTTTATTGTGATCCAAAAATGTAACTTTAATGTAAATGCTAGGATCTTTTCACTTTGTTCTTTCTTGGCTCCTATCCGCTTTACAAATTCGGCATGAAAATTTGCCTTAATCTTTCTTGGTTTTTGAGCGACCTAAGACTATGAAATTTTACCATGCGTGTATATTAGTTGGGAATGGAAATTTTGTTGAACATAATCTAAGTAAAAAAAGAGACGGTCGAGGTTTAAAAAATGGCTGAATTTTAATTTAATTCTGGATAAAAACTGTGGCAAAACATAATACGCCACGTGGCTATTTTAAAGAGCAAAATTTGACCCAGATTTACGCCGTTAGTTTAAAGGGTATTCATGAGCCAAAAATAAAGATTGAGGGTATTTTTAAAAGGAGGGTATTTGTGAGCCATTTTTTATACATTAGAGATATTTTTGACCCTTTTCCGTATACAAAATCCAGGAAAACACCTTTTGACTAGTACTGATATATGCAAATGCTTGGTTTCTTGGTACTGTAGACTATCAACGATGTCCTCTTTGGAATCATATCTTGTGGGCTCTCTAGGTACCTGGATTTGCGTTCTCCCAAAGGTAAAATCCCATAATTATTAGTACACCACTTGAACCTCGTAATATCCTTGTATAAATTTAATACTAGCATATGGAGTAATAATTAACTTGGTTCCATTGATTTAATTTGCAGCTCTGCAAGAAGGGCTTCAGATCACTGGCATTGCCATGGTGAATTTAAGAAAACAATCTGGATTACAGGTTAACTACAAAATATAGCAATAAGAAATTTATAATTTCTACAATATATGTTACGCCTCAGACCAAACATTATTAACCTCAAACATTTTTTACAGGACTTTTCCCAATTGATGAACAGCAAATCGGGAGCAAGTTGGGGTAATAAATTTGGCATGCTTCTATTACCAGTTTATTATCACAAAGGTGGAAGTGATGGATTGCAGTATGTAAGAAGAGCTAAAGCAATGATTGACAAGAAAAAATTGTCACTAGAGGGCCCTTGCTCCTACAAAATTGGAGACATTATTATGTCCTATTTCGGACCTAAGGTAATGAATCTCTCTACCTATGGCTGCAATTTTTCGAGTTGCCATTACTTATTCTACGTTTGTGTATGTGCAGCTAGCTAGCTTGCTCAACTACAGAATTATTAGTAATACAACTTTTACAATCTCAAATGTGATCGGCCCTCAAGAGGATATCACATTCGTAGGGAACCGCATATCCTCCGTTAGAGTCACTTCTACCGCCCTGCCCCATGTAAGTTTCTTATTTACTGCCTTTTGTCTAATTTTGTTATTAAATAACGGTGGTTTCCTGCCCAGCTTTTGCGTACCTCGACTAATTTCAGAGGGTACCCGCTATCTCCATCAATACAAATATCGAGTAACTCTGTCCACCAAGGCTTGACACATGGGGAGAAATTTATCAACTCTTTCATGAAAGCATAAATCATCATGTCTAATGTATATGTTATATTATAATATTAATGCAGGCAATCACAATGCACATGGTAAGTTATGCAGGGAGGGCTGACATGCAAATATTGGTGGCTAAAGACATCATTCCTGACCCTAAAGTCCTAGCCAAGTGTTTTCAAGATGCCTTACTGGAAATGAAGGAAGCTGCACAAGCTGTTGGCAAAAATTAAAAGGATTTAACTTACACACACTAAAAGTGTAAAGAATTTGTACACTACCAGTATAATTTATCCTGTTGTAGCAGGGTGATTGCCTTATTTCAGCTTACTAATTCCACTTATTATGGGCAGTTATGTATAGTTATCTTTTAGGTGACCTGATGGTATAAAAATTCTTTTGTAGAGATAACTAAAGGAGCTGGGTTATTTAGACTTTAGAGGTAAAGTTACATGTAAAGAAGTTGAATACAGAAGTTCCTTGCATATCTTGGCTGTTATTGAACAATAAATTAATGAGCCTTTTTCTGAATATGGTTTTTTCTTCCATCCAATTCTAGTTCTGCCTTTCATGATTCAACAAAGTCATTGATTTTGCTTTCATCTCTTGCAACATTGAGCAAATAAGCAAAATCTTCAACCAATTATATTTGCTTTTTTGACCTGATCTAACCATTATTATTGAAAAGAAGCACCAAGATGGATCTGTAGCAAGTGCAAACAGAGGCTTTTTTACATGACAAAGTACGTACAGAATACACTCAAATAGGTCCATGAAGGTAAGTTATTGAAGTCAATATTCGGGCTGCAGATACATGCATTACAATAAGATATATCTATGTGCATTACGTATGATCAAACTAAAAACTGCTTAGAAGTAAAACCAGATTTTCTTGCAGCATTAATAAGCTTCAATGCCTAACGGAAAGGCTCTCTTTTTGCTTCTTTCTCGCTTCTTCCTTAGTAAAAGCTTCCTTAGAAAATTCATTCCCCCGCGTTTCTTGGTTGGTAAAATAACCATAGTTCCCATATTCGGAGTTTTAGCTTCAGACTGTGGGCTTTGGGTTGCGTGAACTGTATCATTGTTGGGAGAGTTGAGTTCCTCCTTTTGCACGTCATCCTCTGATAACATCCGATCGAGTAGAGACATGTGCTTCCTCATGTTCTTAATGCTACCATTGGTGGCACCAACTGTATTTTCCTTCGGCAAAGCTAAGGCCTTAATTTGCTTCCCTAGGTTCAGTATAGTCTCTTGACACTCGGCCAATTTTTCAGAAGCAGATGTTATTTCCCAGCCCTGCCAATTTGAACAATCACTTCTCTACATGATTTAGTAGATAAAGTACAAAATAGACAGTGATGCAAATAGGTGTTCCATCATAAAAATATATACATTCACAATTCTTGTTGTTGGAAGAATTGTGAAGTACTATTTATGCAACATATTTGTAATTCATATAAAGAAACAATAGCCTGGATTTATTCGGGGTTAGCAATCAGTTACTAAGTTCGACAAATTATCAATTTGACTGCTTTTTGACGCTTAAAGATTAGTACTAAATTTCGGGAATTACAGTAAGTTTTACTTGATCTTGCATACCTATTCACTGCAATGCTGCTACTTACAACATGGAAATAGTTGACTGAAATCTATTTAAGTGGGAGCCTGAGATCATAGAAATGCCAATACTTGGTCAATAAATGCTTCAGCCATCAAATTTATAGGAATTTCTGCAACAGATAAGGTAGCTAAAGAACCTTGAGTTTCTTAGGGCTTGATGTCACAAATAGATTGATGAAAGAAGAGAGGAAAACAATGTCATCTCTGCCTATCGGTGAGAAAATTGTAACTATATAAATAATTCTCAATTCGGCAAAAGAGTAACTCACAGTTTTCTGCAGGCCTTTTTCTTGATCCATGTTGTCCTCGGAAGTTGGATTGGCAGTAATACTGCTTATCAGAAATAAGAGGAATTAGACCCTTCATTATCTACAAACTACTAATTATGAGAACAAAGTAACAATTGAACGATACCTTTCAAGTTGGAGTTGAAGCTCAAGGCAAGTTCCTTCCAGCTCTTCACAACAGTGACTTCTATCTTCCAATTCTACTTCAAGAGAAGATAGTTTTTGAAGTGTTTCATTTAGTTTAACTTTGGTCACAGTAAGCTGTGTATCGAGATCTTCATTGATTGATTTCTGATTTTCCATAAGATCCTCCATCATCCTTTTAGATTCTTTAGCTTCTTCCAGTTCAGCTCGTAGACTTAAAATACTTTGTTGTGATTGCTTAAGTTCATTTGCCAAGTTTTCGCTCTTGTTCTTCACGACTTGCAGCTTGACTTGTACATCTTTGTTTGAGGACTTCATACTGTTTATCTCAGCTTTCAATCCTTCATTTTCTGCTTGGAGGATAGAATGAATTTTCCCCAATTCAGATATAACACTTTGCGTTGATCCCGATTCAGTTGTTAGACTTTGCATCTTTGGAGAAGTTACCGGAGATTTCCAAGTAATATAACCACTGATGGGAAGCAGTTCAGATGGCCCACTACATGGAGTGTTTACATTGTACAAAGCTACTCTAATATCCTCTAATAATTCATCAGCGCCCTTTTTTGAGACACAGCTTTGCTCCATTATTATTTTCAAGATTTCATGAAGCCAATTGGAGGATATCTTGGACACTGAATCTTGTCCTTGAACTTCCATTCCCAAGTCATATAAATCATGTTGTTCCACTTTAACTAGTTCCTTACCAGTCGAGTCGATCTGGTGTCCATGTGTCTCTGATAAAGCGAGACTTGCATCTGAGGGAGGATAAGAACTCCCTATTGTAGAATCAACAGCAACTATTGCAAGTTTCTCCATTTCAGCAAAATCATCCATCAGACACATCTCTGAAACCCCAATCATTTTTGAACAAACACTTTCATCTCTCTTGCACGTGTCGTAACTTGATATTGAGGAAGTTTCATTTGATAGTGGACTAGCCAAGGCCAGCTCTTTGGAACCCTTAGCAGAAGAATGGCAAATCTCAACTTCTTTCCTTCCTAATAAATCTTTCAAAGCCTTGTTCTCTCCCTCCAGATTACACATACGTTCAACTAAAAAAGTTATCTCCTTATGGCGAATATCATCTGTCACTGTATCTTTAAGAATTAAACTTCCAGTTGGGGGATCTGACTTCCTCCTCCTTATGACAGTTTGATTTTTTTCTTGCGTTTCAATTTCATTCTTAACCTTTGTCAATCCAACCTGACCAGGCAGCCGCTTGCGAGTTAGAAGACGTAATCTCTGACATTCTGCTTCCAATTTTCTAATTTTCTTCACATTCTCTAGTTGCTGCTTACGCGAGGAATCCAAAGAGCGGCGGCTGAACTCCATCTCTTCATTCCGAATATGGAACTCCCTCTCAAGCATCTGATATTCATACCTCAAAAAAGAATTTTCTTTCTCCACAGAATCTAACCTCGACATTAGTGCATTAAACTCTGCTTCTGCCTGTGTACTGCTCTTAGTTAGATCTTCAATTATCTTACCTTTCACGAGAAGGACCTTATTTAGATGAGAATTCTCATGTGTCAAATTTGTTATCCTTTTACTTGTTTCTGCTAATCTGTCCTCTAACTTTTTGTGCACCTTCTCAAATTCTTTTGACGTCCTCATTACAGCGTCACGTATTTTTTGCTCCTGTTCCTCTCGGAGAGTAGTTAATTGCTGTATATGATCTCTCAGCGCAGTGTTCAAGTGCATTATACTTTCATTAGCAGCTTTTCTCTGATGGACTGCTTCATCTAGTTCTTTTTTTAAGCAAAGTACTTCAGCTTCTGCTTTCTTCTGACCTAAATTTGCATCTAATATGTCAGAAGGAAACTAAGTTGGTCTAACACTAGCGATAAAGGTAACCGAGGAAATGTGCCTTAGCAATATTGAACAGGGAAAAAAACAACAGCTAGTTACCTGCAATAGCTTCTTGTTCTATTTCTGCAGACCGTATTAATTGTTCATCTTTCGAATTAGATTCACTGAGCGCGGTAGCTAACTTCTCATCTAGGATTTTCAATGATTGCTCCAGAAATATTTCCTTTTCATTTGGAACTGTCTGTCCCTAAACGCAATTAAATAGTACCTTTTAGCACAAAGGAACGTGTCCGAAGGAATGTTACAGCAGTGAGCTAAAACCTGTCACATTAAAGTTAAATTTTAAGTACCTCTACTCCATTTACTTGAGCAGGATGATCAGATTTGCTGATTGAAACAATTGTCTTCTCTGAAGATCGTTTCCTCGGCCATAACCATGACTTCTGGTCCATGATTTACTGTCACCACGAAATTCAGTAGCAAATTTTCAAGAATTGAATGACAAAGAGTCAAAGAGCAAATAAATCGAATTTTAGCTATTTGGTTTCTTCTCTTTTTCCTTTTGAGCACTATAATAAAGCTACTGACTAACAATTCATAGAGTTTAACTAGTTAAACCGGACGATTAGAACCAGGAGAAGGAAATGCAAGTCACCAATGACACCAAACAAAACTTTGCAACTTAGAATCAACCTCTTCAATAAACTAATAAAACACTTTTCTATCTCTAAAGAAACTTAAAAGGCTTAAAAAACATGAACATTGCTTCAGTTTTATCAACAGAGACGAATGCAGCCTATATTTAACGGATTCATACCAGTATTTTCAACACGGAACATAGATATACACGCAAAAAAATTACTAGAATTTCAACAAATGTTAAATTCTAAATCCATCAAGAAGTAGTCATTTTCACCAACCCCCCCCCCCCCCCCTTGTGAATGGTGTAGGGTGGCAGAGTGGGGAGGGGAATGGAATACCAGGGGCAGAATTTAGAAAATTTTCAACATAACTCCCTGAAATATTACAGTAGTTTTTTCCACTAAAAATGACGAAAACACCAATAAAAAAAGAACCCAGAAAAGTGAATAAAACAGGCACTCATACTGTAAGATTCTACAGTTTCAGCATGTTGATCATATTACTACAGACATATCGAGAGAAAAACAAAAGCTCAATAGCTTTTAACCAAAATGCAAACGGATAACTATCAGAAAAAACAAATTAAACTCACTAAACTACATGAAAAAAAACCATAATAAGATTGTAACAGTAAGATTAACTTCAGCAGTCAGCACTACCAACCTCAATCTAGCATGCAACAGCAGCTACTAATCATTACAAAAATAACCAAACCTTGTCGAATTCTTGGACGTAACCTTACTGCAAGCTTCAAGAAAAGTGGCTAGTAAAAAAAACAACCATTCAAGACACCACCTGGAACTAAAGAGTGAAGAAATAGCAGAAAATGCAGCAATTAATATAGCCACCGACAAGTTACACACCTGGGGCTGGGAGTGAAATGAAACAAATTATTTAACAACTGTAATGAGAGAAAAACAAATAGTGGGTGGGTCTCACCTTCACTTTGGCATAAGGGTAAAAATCCAAAGTCAAGAAAAGATTAAAAGTAGCTATGACTAGCCAGTAGCAGAGAGTAAGATAAAGTTTTTGGAGGGTCCATTTTTGACAATCGACAGTTGTTGCTCTAATAATGTCTGAAAACGTTACACTTTCAAGACATGCAAGGTTAGCTTTCACCATCTGTGAATATCACCCCCCATTGAATATTAACCACGTGTAAATAAATATATTAATAATATAAAAACATTTGTACTATCATTATAAATATATAACACTTACATTCATCGTTACATATTCAGGAGAATGTGAAAGGATCTTTGGCGTAGTTGGTGTTGTTATATGACCAGGAAATCACGAGTTTGAGAGTGGAAACAACTTCTTGCAGAAATGCAAGGTAAGGCTGCGTACAATAGACCACTGTGATTTACTCTTCTTCGAAACCCGCACATAGCAGGAACTTAGTACATTGAAGTGCTTTTTATTGAGGAGATAATGACATAAATGTACGTGAAATAGGGCCAAGAGAATTGATTGTTGCATAATGATTTTGTCCCTTTATGATATTCAATATTTTCCTTTGTATTCAAAGGCTAAAAGAAGCATCTTGTCTTACCTTTGTTTTGAAAATAATATTTTGTGGACCCTTTTTCTTAGGAAAGGTATCAAATTGGGGATCATGACTTCTCCTTTTCCTCGTCCATTGAGTTACTCTAATCTTTATTAATTAGCTTTTATTCCCTTTTCATCATGTTTATTCCATATGGTGGAAGTGTAATATATTATTGTTTATCTGAAATGAAAGCAACAAATAAGAAAAGTGACACTTACCTTAGTGGGTTATGAGGAGAGCTAACCAAGTAGTTCACCAACTACGCTAACTATACATTAACATTGTAGAAATTTTGCTACACACTGTCAACGAATTTTAATTTTTAACGTGTGATAGCAGATAAATTGCCATTTATAAGAATTAACTACTATCAATTAATAATATTTATAGCAATTATTTATAATTATCAATTAAATAATTTAATTGTGTAATTATTATTTATAAGGTAACTTAACCTTTTTTTATCGTCAGTTCTTTTTAAGATTTTTCTGAATGGGGGTATATTAGACCCGAGGAAGGGTTATCTTCCTTGGAATTAGATCTTTCGTCTAATTTATTGAGGGAGGATTACAACAATTAGGTCGTAACTTCAATTGTAGATGAAATAGGTAGTTGCTTACATCTATTTCTCTAAACTAAAATAATTTGTTATTTGTGGCTTGAAGTATTTCCTTGTATTTGTAGGAAACCCATAATCCCAAGAGGTCTAGGAAAACCCATTGTCCTAATAGATTTGGGAAAGGAAAACTTATAGTCCTTGCCAAATTGGGAAACCTTTCTTTTATATGTTTGAGACCTTTTGGGATCTATATATAGGGGTTGTAATTGGGGATTCTATAGATTGTACTGTGTTTTTCTTCTCATTCATAGTGGAAAACTCTCTCTACTTTTGCCCCGAGGATTAGGCTTAGCCGGACCTCGTTAAATCATTGTGTTGATTTTTCTGCTCTATTTGCTTTGTGTGTGATTGTGTGCTAGTTAACCCACGATATTCCGCAACAATTGGTATCAGAGCAAGGTTCGGGTTTCTACATATAATCTAGGGTTAAGATGTCTTCATCATCTATAACAAAGTACGAAGTAGAGAAATTTGACGGGGGTTCTTGTTTCAGTCCATGGAAGATTAGGATGAAATCGTCCCTGGTATTACAAGGGTTATGGAAGGCAATTGATGAGGATTTTCCTGAAGAGATGAAAGAGGCAGAGAAGGCAGACCTAAAGGAGAGGGCTTTGACTGCGATCTTCATGAGCGTTACAGATAGCGTTCTTCGGGAAATTGCTGAAGAAACTTCTGCAGCAATGGCATGGAAGAAGTTGGAAGATCTGTATTCTAAGAAATCGCTGACAAACCGCTTCTACCTGATAAAGAGGTTATACAATCTCTGTATGAATGAAGGTACACCTCTTATAACTCACATTGATGAGTTTAATTCAATTATAATGGACCTGAAGAATGTGGATATCAAAATTGAGAGTGAGGATCAGGCCTTGATTGTGTTATGTTCTTTACCACCGTCTTATGATACTTTTGCCGATACGCTGCTATATGGGAAAGATAACATTTCACTGGAAGATGTTAGTAATGCACTAAAATCTAAAGAGTTGAAAAAGAGCTTTCCAGACAGCAGAATTGAGGGCGAGGGTCTTGTGATTAGAGGAAGAACACAACAAAAGGACGTTAAAAGGAAAAAGTCAACAGCCAGATCAAAGTCTAGAGCAAGGAAGCAACATTGTTATGAGTGCGGGGAGCAAGCTCACTACAAGAGAGATTGTCCTAAGCTGAAGGAGAAAAGAGGGAAGCAGAAAATAGATAATTCGGCAAATATTGTTGACACTGGCAATAATTCTGATGATAGTGACTATGTAGGGGAAATCTGTGCTGTGAGTTCTAGTCATGGGCAGAATTCTTGGGTTCTTGATTCTGGTGCTACTTTCCACATGTGTCCATACAAGAATTGGTTTGCAACTTACAAGCAAATGAGTGGGACTGTCTATATGGGAGATGATAATCCATTACCAGTAGAGGGGGTTGGTAACATCAAATTGAGAATGTGACGGAATTATCAGAAACATTGAGTGTTGGCATGTTCCTCCGATAAAGAGAAATTTGATTTCTCTTTCGACTTTGGATGATCAAGGGTATAAATTTCACTCTGAGAATGGAATACTTAAAGTGTGTAAAGGCTCCATGGTACTCATGAAGGGTAAACTACATTCTAAATTGTATGATCTTCAGGCCAGTTGAAAGGGAAGCTGCTGTAGCTTCTGGGAAAAGTGATCTGAAGCAGTCTCAGTTGTGGCACTTGCGACTTAGCCATATGAGTGATAATGGATTGTCTTTGTTGAGTAAGCAAAATTTGCTGAATGGGTACAAAAATCAAGTTTTGAATTTTTGTGAGCATTGTGTGTTTGGTAAACAGACAAGGGTAAAGTTCAGCAAGAAGGCCGAGCACAAGACCAGAGACAAGTTAGATTATATACACTCTGGCTTGTGGGGTCCAAACAGAGTTCCCTCCAAGAGTGGTGCCAGGTATTTTATGACTTTGATTGATGATTACTCAAGGATGGTGTGGGTGTATTTTCTGAAAACAAAAGATGAGGCATTTTCGACATTTGTTAAATGGAAAGACGATGGTTGAGAGGCAGACAGAAAAAAAGTTTAAGGATCTTCGAACTGACAATGGGTTAGAATTTTGCAATTCTGAGTTCGATAACTTTTGTAGCAGAGAGGGCATAGTGAGACACCGCACTTGTGTCGGAACACCACAACAAAATGGTGTTGCAGAACGTATGAATAGAATGCTTTGTGATAGGGCAAGAAGCATACTTTCACATTCATGTGTTAGCAAAGATTTTTGGGCTGAAGCAATCAATACAGCTTGTTATTTGGTCAATAGATCTCTATCCACAACTATTGAGTTTAAAACTCCTTTTGAGGTATGGTCCGGTTCGCCTGCTGATTATTCAAATTTAAGGATATTTGATTGTCTTGCTTATGCTCATGTGAGGGATGGAAAACTTGAGCCGAGGGTAAAGAAGTGCATATTTCTAGGGTATGCAACTGGAGTGAAAGGTTATAGGTTGTGGTGCACAGATCAAAAGTGTTAGTTTATATGAGTCCACCAAACTATAGAGTACCTGGTCCTCTATGAGTTTTCACTGAGAATACTAATGAAGCAGTAAGTAAATGAGACACGGGATTTTTACGTGAAAAAATCCCAACTCAAGGGGACAAAAACCACGACCTATACCTGTAGGCTTTCAACTTCACTAACTTGTAAACACACCATTACAAGCCACTTTGTAATGACTCTTTAACAAAGAGTTCAACTCAACTAACTTGTGATACACTTACCACAAGCCACTTTGTCACTCACTAGTTACAAAGACTTTAACTCAACTAACTTGTGATACACTTACCACAAGCCACTTTGTCGCTCACTAGCTACAAAGACTTTTTAACTTATGACTAACTCTAGTCACAACACAAACTCAAAAGGTTTATGATTTTGAGTTTCCTAAAACAAAGCTTCTAAGGAAGCAGGATAGGAGTTACAATGAAGAACAAACAACAAGATTACAACTCAACTACGGACACACATTGACTCATTGTGGAACAGATCCTTAGTGGAGTTGTCTTCTTGTTCTTGACACACATGTGACGTCAATGCTGGATTAGATCTTTTGTGCTTGAGAGAATATCACTAAATGCTCAAGTGAGTATCTTGTGCCTTGCACCATGTTGTTATACTACCAGAAACATCCTAAGGATGATGTCAAGTCTTGGTATCTATACGCCTTTTCCCAGTGGGAAGTGACTGTTGCACTGTCTGCTGCACTGTTGAGTGTACAATTGCAGGCAGTTGCTTTCCAGCTGTATAGTTGACTTGTACTTCTGTCAGAGAACACCAAGGGATCAGGTCCCTGTCTTGTTCCTCTATTTTCTTTACTTGCAGTAGTTCACATTAGCTGGAGTTCAAGCTGGAATTCGTTCATTTGCAATGTGTACCAAGTGTTAGGTTCCCTATCTGGTTCTTGACAGTAAGTTTGTTAGATCATCAAAACATAAGAAAAGACATTGAAAACCCATCAATTTCCCCCTTTTTGATGATGACAAACTTAGGCATTAATGACATGCCACCTGACTTTATGCTTCTCCCTTAATCAGATCCCCTGTTTCAATTCTAATTATACTAACCAGATGAGGTACCAGGCACTTCACAAGTTCCCCCTTAATCAGATCCCCTATTTCAATTATAGTTCCCCCTTTTGGCATCATTAAAAATACACAAGCAGGAAAATAGCATAAAGAAGTCTAACATAGCCAACTCATGCCACATATGTGCAC